CACAATTAATGTTGTAACTAGTGGGTGATAGAAGTTTGCTAAACAAAACTCTAGACCAGCATTTTAAATTGCTTATGATGCTAACTGGTGCTATCATTTTGTTCCCTTGACTTGTTTCAGCATCATAATGGTGTTCGACTTGGTGAGAGTTTATCTATGTGTCACGCATGATGGAACTGACTTCATAACATGAATGGCTAACTCTGTTCTAACTTGAGGAAGCTTAGAATAGAAGTATTGGGTGCTAGGAACTGTCTGCTTATTTAAGTATCGGGGATTCATTGAATTGCAGTTAAGGTTCTGATAAATCCTAAATATGAATGCTAATCTCCATGTGCTAAGTTTAATAATGAAATAAATTTCTTCGGTTTTTTTCTTATGGATGATGGTGGTGTTTGGGACAACTTGGGCACATCTCAGCTATTTCATGGGTACCTGTTATCTCCCACTTGCACTGATGATTAATAACTCTGCCCACCAAGGTTCCAGCCAGTGGAATGAAATCACCTAGTGTTTTTTTGTCTCTACTATGTGAACCCTAGTTTTCAAGGCGTGCACTCACTTCATTGACCACTTGTCCACACCGTTGTGTGCAATAAGCTTTTCTGAATCTGATGTTGCAAAATATGCAGAATTTTCATCTGTGGTGTATATTGAGTACCAGATAAGAAAACAAAGGCAGGCAGTGTTTATATTGGCAAACACTGCTAATCTTGAGTGCATTTACTGCTATATAGATGCCATATTATAGGGTGTGGACCATATTCACGTATTTTTCCTTACGTAATTCAGAAATTAGACTGAAAATCGAGAAATTATTCCAAGGTTGTATGATTTTAGTATTTAGCTGTAATCTGTAATTACTATATACTTAAACAAGTAAGGTTTATCAAATCCATTGAAGAGGATGTTATAAGTTATAACTAAATTTATGACCTTAGCCCACCTTAAGCATATTGCTGGATTCGCTCATCTTTTGGAAGTGATATCCTTACCTTTTCTGCTGAATGATGTCCCGATATGGCCTTTGTACTGTATTTTCTGAATTCTACAATTTTTGTATTACCCAGAAAACGAACAGAAAGCTTGTTCATATTAGCATTGGGCTAGTCTTCATGCTCTGCTGGCCAATGTTCAGGTAATGCTTTTCAACCTAACCATGAAGCCTTTCATTCATTCAATTCCTAATATACCTGGTGAGTGAGGCGGTGTTTTGTTTTTCCAGTTCTGGTCAACAAGGAGCAATTCTAGCAGCTTTTATTCCCGGTCTTAACATAATAAAAATGCTTCTTTTGGGATTAGGAATATGGAAAGATGATGCAACTGTCAAGTCTATGAGCCGATTTGGAGACCACAGGTTTAGTAATCAGAAGAATATTTTTAGCTTTTACTTGAACAATTTCATTAAACCATCTCTTGTTATAGAACTTAACTGTTACTGAAAATAGCGAGACATCACAACCAAGAACTGGTTCCCTTGAGGAAGAGGTTGCAAACCATATTTATTTATGTGCATCCATATCTTCATTCCTTTAATGGTAAGTTGGCAACAGGCTATTTGTTAATTTTACTAAAGCTGCAATCTGTGCGTAATATGATGCTGCCAACATCTGTGAACACTTGTACATGTTAACACTATTTATTCTTATTAGTCCTACTATTTCTCCTATATCATAACAAAATGATGCGGGAGAAAAGTTTCTGAAAACAGGCAGCTGTGCCAAAATTGGTAAAGCATAATTGCCGGGCCAACCCCATTCCTTTTTTTGTAGTCCTAATTAAGCTAAGGATTACTTCTTATTGTCCTTCAATGACCTCTTATTCTTTGTTAAGCAATTTAATTGGCAACTTACATTGTGTTTGGCATGCCTCTTACATTAGGGAGCTTCTCAAGGGACCATTGTACTATGCCTTTTCAATCACTTATGCTTGTGCTATATATTGGAGATATTCTCCTATTTCAATTGGACTAATTTGCAACCTTTGTGCTGGTGATGGTATGCTATGCTGAGGCAATTTAATTTCTGTCTGTCATGGTTACTTGACCTCCCTGATTGACTGATGATGTTCTAAGAAATAGTAAAAGTTACTGTTTTCGTGCTCCAGGTATTGCTGACATTGTTGGCAGGAGGTTCGGAAAACAGAAACTCCCATACAATAAAAACAAATCATTTGCTGGTAGTATTGCAATGGCAGCTGCTGGTTTCTTAGCATCCCTTGGGTAATTGAAAGCTTTCATTGTTATCATGTTTTGCTTAAATACTGCATATTTCTTACTGGTCTCTATGGTTTTGCTACAGATTCTTGTTCTATTTCTCCTTGTTGGGGTATATTCAGGTGAGCTCCAAGACGGTCTTAGGGTTCTTGTTTATGTCTCTTGCTGCAGCACTGGTTGAATCCCATCCTCTAAGCAGTGAACTCGATGACAACTTAACAGTTCCCTTAACCTCAGTACTGGTAGGCAGTCTTGTTTTATGATATCAGATTGTAGCCTGAGATGGATGAACTGTAACACTTAGAAATGCTAACTGAAAATGGGTAATGTGTTAGTCTGACACAGTATTGTGTATCACTAAGTATGGAGAACTCTGCATTACACAAAACTTGTTAGTTTTTATTGTGGTATTGTTAAACTAGTAAGCGTATCCGCGCGTTGCGCCGATATTTTAAAATATAATTTTTTTAAAATCTATTATTAACTTGTTAATAGTTTATTCAAATAAATATCAGAACTCATTAGTTATATTTATTTTATTTCATTAAATTAATGTTATTATTAGTCAATTATATTTTTAAAAGATAATATTATTCTAACAAATAAACACATGATGACAATTAAGTAGATAGGGAAAGAAAATTGGGAAAAGGCTCAAATATGCCATCGAACTTTTAGAAAAGGCTCATTTATGCCATCCGTTAAAAGTTTGGCTCATTTATGCCATTGCTGTTAAAGAAAAGGCTCATCCATGCCATTTTTTTTAACTCCGGTTTTGCAAAACCATTTTTTACACACCAAACATGGTTTAACACTTTTCTATTGGTGTTTTTGGATCAAATGTACATTTTTTGCTTCTACATCCTTAAGAACACCAAGAACACATAAAGAACATTAACAATTCCCAAATTTCAAACTTATTCAATTCTTCATGAATCGCCTCAAATTTCAAGAGTAGTTTCGCTCTGAGCTAGATACCAAAACTCAATTTCTTTTGAGCTCGAATTCAACCTAACTCAACAAGATCCAATTGAAATTTCTTCAAAGTTTCAAAACTTGAACATTCTTTAATGGTAGATTCTCCAAAACTTCAAATCATTTGAAATTTTGAACATAAACTCAAAAAACACTAGTCAACAAAGTCAACAAAGATCTAATGTTAAAAACAAGAATCAAAGAAAATTTTGAAATTTTGGGACTGATTTTCATTTTTTGGAATATATATTTTTAAATATGGGTGAATTTTTTGAACTCTAACAAATGATTTTAGAATTTTGTTTTTAAAAAAAAGAAATTAATGGTGTAGCCGAAATTTGAGATGATTTCGTGAAGAATTGAAGATGTTGAAAATTTTGGAGTTGTTTATGTTCTTCATGTGTTCTTGGTGTTTTTAAAGAAAAACAAGCAAAAAATGTACATTTGATCCAAAAACACCAATAGAAAAGTGTTAAACCATGTTTGGTGTGTAAAAAATGGTTTTGCAAAATCGGAGTTAAAAAAAATGGCATGGATGAGCCTTTTCTTTAACAGCAATGACATAAATGAGCCAAACTTTTAACGGATGGCATAAATGAGCCTTTTCTAAAAGTTCGATGGCATATTTGAGCCTTTTCCCTATTATATATAAAAGTGTTGAAGGTGATACTTGTTGGTCAATGTGTATGCTTCTAGCATTGGATATTTATGTATTTTTCTAAATTAAATTTTTATTATTATTTTAATTAATTGAAAATCACGTAAAAATAATAAGTTGTCATAAAGAAAAAAATTTAAGACATAAAAACTCTATTAACTCTATATAAATTGTGATAGATAAAGTAACATATATTGTTTGAAAAATAATATGAAGTACTATAAATTACAATAATAAATAATTTGAACTATTTAAAGAACTAAATTGAATATTGAAAGTTTATTTTGCGTAACATTAATTAGTACACTCGTAAGAAAGCAACAAATGTGATCTAAAAAAAAACGTTAAAAGTATTATAAATTACAATAATTTACAAATTAAATATGTAAAAAATTTACTATGGTGTATTTGATTGACTCTCAAAATTCTATCTGTATAAATAAATTGGAAAAAAAGAGAATTATATATTTTCTTAAAATTACTTAAAAGGTACTATAAATCACTTTGTCAAATTTAATATATAGAAAACTAATTATTTTTTATCCGTTGACAATTGAAGCAGTGATTTAGGAAGATAATCAAATAATATGGGATAACTATATTTATTACTCCCTCTATTCATTTTTAATTGTTATGTTACACTTTTCAAAAGTCAATTTGACTAATTTTTAAAATTGAATTAGATAACATTAATTCGATATTTTAAACAAAAAAAAATTAGATAACAAAAAACTATACTAAAAGTATTATAAATTTCATTTTTTTGCATATCAATATGCTAAAAAATACATTCATAAAATGTTAGTCAAAGTTATTATCGTTTGACTCTAAATGAAAAAATTATGACAATTAAAAATAGACGGAGGTAGTAAAATAGTAAACTAATATGGAAAGAGGTAAATGAAGTAATAAAAAAATACAACTTCCTAGGTATATTGATACGCGTCCCTTCATCATTGTCTATAGATGGTAAGACTCATGTTTGTACTCATTTCAATATTTATTTTTTTCAAAATTAAAATATGGCCATGGGCCAATTTTATTGAATAAGTTAAAAAATGAAATATAACTTTGGACAAACCATCAAATGAGTCTGGATAAAAAGGAAGCCATTAAAATCATATTAAAAAGAAAAAAAAGAAAACTTTTTCTCTCAAGAAGGAGACCAAACATATGCAGTGATAGAAGCTAAATTTTGAGAAGGGAGGTGCTCTTCTTCTTTCGATTGTCTCCGGCCAGAGCTAGTGTCGATCTTCTCTAAGCTCCTGCCTGCTTTACCATCACTGTGAGTGTTCTTTCTTTCGTTTCTTTAATACTTTTTCGATTCTCCTTTCTACTTTGATACTCTTTATCATAACTATGATAACTTTTTTACCGTTTCAACATTTGAACATGCAAATGATAACATAGCATAATAAAGACTTTCTTCAAGCAGGTTATGATTAATTGATCTGGCATATAAGATTGACGAAATGGTCTGATAGACCCTTATACTTGTATCTGTTTGTATTCTGGACTCTTCTACTTATCCATTTGTCATTTGAACCCCTGAACCCATCCAAACACAACATTTAAAACACACTTTTTAATGTGGTATGGTGCGTGTTGCACAAACTCGTACACGTTGACCAAAAAGAAAAAAAATTCAATCCACATATGAATATTATATTCCACTTAGCCTATCACACATATGAAGTAAGAATTGTCGTCATTGTATTCCAAAGGCAATTCCAAACCATCGCGACTTTTCCCCTTCTCCTCTCCGTGATTTCTCTATGATTTTGCTAAGTTGAAGCACAGTTGAAGCTTAGTTGAAGCTCAGTTCCACTGTGATTTTCATTGTAAGTTCTTGCCTTTTGCGTTAATTCTAATTTTTTTTCATTTTGTTCGTGCGTATCTATTTGACTTTAGGGTCGTTGTCATTCGATTTTCTGAAATATTTTGGAGATTTTACTTTGGTTTGTGTCTATTGTTAGTGTATTATGCTTTCGTAGTGGATGTATGACTTCGAGTGACTTCAATGGCATATTTCGTGAATTCGACTAGATTCTAGGGTTTATTCGTAATTCTCAATTTCGACTAAAATTAATAATTTTTTCTCGTCAATTGTCTTGGGTATTGATAGTGTTAGCGGTCCATTGTTACATATCATAGGTGTATAAAATTCTTGACACCTTGTCTCCTTAAAAAAAAAAGGTCTTTTTGTTATTTTAACTTACAGGCTTGGTAAGTTAATGGCTTTAACGATAGTTGTTTTTCTTTTGACTTTACAGGCATGGTAAGTTAATGGCTTTAACTATAGTGACACTTCAATTTCACTATGGGGGTTGTTTTGTAACTGGTCCTACTGTAAGGTATGCCAATGGAATCACTAGTCTTGAAAAGATTAATATAGATGTAGATGAGTTGCATATTATGTTGTTTCATAAAATAACACTAAAATTGAGTGTTGAAAATGTTGAGCATTTGGATGTAGAGTCAACAAGAAGGGTGGTTATTACATGGTAAATACTGATTTTGACGTTTTAAACTTTCTTAATGGTTTGAAGGGTGCTGATTTTGTTTATGTATATGTTGTATATCCCATTAGTATATCTTTAGTTGTTGAGGAGATACTTATATTGCCTAGCACTAATGTTGATGTGTCCTCCTCTCTACAAAAAGATAATGCTGATGTGTCCTCCTCCCCACACAAAAATAGGGCTAATCTGTCATCCTCCCCACAAATAAATAGGGTTGATCTGTCATCCTCCCCACAAATAGATAGGGCTGATGTGTCTTCATCTCAACCATTTGATGAAAATTAAAATAAGCATTTAAACCAAAATCAATCCCCTATAGTTGAAGAGAAGTCCCCTAGAGTTGAAGAACATTCTGATTCTGATTCACTCTATGATGTTGATGAAAATATTGATGATTTGAGTAATTTGGATGAGGAGTTACTTCAAGCTAGGCAGTCTAACATTCAAGAACAAGTTAAAGATAAGGCTGATAGAGTAAATCCAGATGAGATACCATCTGGTCCTGTATGTATAGATGCTGGTTTTGAAGACATTTATAAGAAGAAGAGGGGGAGATTTGAAGGCAATTTGGGTGGTGATGACCCTTATTTTGATAGCTCAGATCCTAATAGTGACATTAGTGAAGATGAAGGGGATCATGTTGAGAATGATGAAGTGGTAGATCCAGTACCTAGGAAGGAAACTACAAAGATCTACTTTGATCCAACTGCTAAAAAGGTTTTATTTCAATTGTATATGGTTTTTTTTAATCATATTGAGTTCAGGGAGACACTGCAAACTTACTCTATTCAGAAGAGTGTGAATATTAAGTTGAAACCTAATGAGAAGGAAAGGATAAGGGCAAAGTGTAAGAAAAATTATTGTCCTAGCATATTCTTGGAAGTATTGATGGTAACACTGAAAACTTCACTTTTAAAACATATTTTCCTGTCCACAAGTGTTTTAAAAGAATAAGAAACAAACTGTGTACCCCCATTTGGATTAGTAAACATTACAAGGAGAGGATTATGAGTGAGCCTACCATCAAACTACATCAGATTTTGATACAAAAGCAATATGATTTGTATGTTAGTAAGACAAGTTGTAGAAAGGCAAAACTGAGAGTTATGAATGAACATTTGGGAGATTTCAGAGAGGAGTTTGCCAGGTTGTATGATCATGCTGAGGAATTAAAGATCACAAATTCTGGAACTATTGTATCTATTAGGACATCCAAGAACACAATTTCAGGAAAAGAGGTGTTTATGAGCATCTATATTTGCCTTGGTTCCTTAAAAATGGATGGAAAGAAGGGTGTAGAAGGATTATTGGTTTAGATGGTGCATTTCTCAAAAGTGTATGTAAAGGTGAGCTGTTATCTTGCATTTCCGAAGATGGAAATAATCATATGTACCCTATATCATGGGCAGTAGTTGATAAAGAAACCAATGACACATGGTCTTGATTTCTCAAGTGCATCAAACATGATTTGGAGCTTACAGAAGGTGAATGACTAACAGTGATGTCTGATATGCAGAAGGTATTACTATATTATTTGTTAAATTTATTCTTTAATTTCTCGAGTAATTGATATTTAACATTGTTGTATGTCAAATGTTCTTTGTTTGATAGGATCTTGATCTTGCACTTATTGAATTATTGCCAAATGCTGAAATTAGATGTTGTGCTAGGCATATATATGAGCAAACTTGAAGAAAGACTGGAGGGGTGAAGAAAGGAAAAGAAAATTATGGCAGGTTGACAGGGCATCATTTGAGGTCCTTTTACAGGTAAAACTTGATGACATGAGTTAGTTAGGACAAGGCATTGTAGAAGATTTGTTAAAGTATAACAAAGAAGCATGGTGTAGGGCATTTTTTTTTAAAGAACATAGCAAGTGTGATGTGGTTGAGAACAACATCTGTGAGACTTTCAACAGTTCAATTTTAGGTGCTAGGTTCAAGTCAATAATCACTATGCTAGAAGAAATAAGAGTCAAAGTTATGGAAAGAATGAATCAAATGAGAGAATTTTCAGAAAAATGGATTACTGATGTATCACCAATGGCTATGGATATTCTTAGAAAAAATGTTGAAATTACAGATAATTGTGAGGTAAAGTTTAATGATGATCTTGGCTTTGGGATTCATGATCCACCATATAGTGATGAGCCTATTAAGAAGAAGTTTGGAAAGGCAACAAGGAAGGGAAGAAAAATGAAATGTTTCGAGTGTAAGACTTTTGGGCATAACAAGAAAGGATGTCCAACTCTGGTAAGTTGTGCTTTAATCTCTCTGTTACCGCATTTTACTCTTTCAACGCTATTTTTGACTTTAATATATGTTTGTAGAAAAATGCTGGAACTTCAAATATTGGAACAAGTGTTGCAACTGCTAGAACAAATGTTGTAACTGTTGGAACAAGTGCTGCAATTGCTGGAACAAATGCTGCAACTTCAGATTTTACAAATGCTGCAATTGGAAGCCAATCAAGTGTAAATGCAGGTCCAAGTGCTGCAACTGCCTCAACACTTGCTGGAAGGCCTACAAATGTTTCATCAAGTGGTGTGAGGCATGCAACTACCTCAACAATTTGTGGAAGGCCTACAAATGCTTCATCAAGTGGTGTGAGGGCGGCTGCTGCCTCAACATTTGGTGTGAGGCCTACAACAACTCCTTTAAGAACTCAACTTCTAGTGTAGCTGGCCAAAAAAGAAAGACTAGCACAGCTTTGAGAGGTGGTGCAACTCTTGTATATAAGAGACCAAGATAAAAAAGAAAAGCAAAGACAACTAGTTATGGTATCTTATTTGGATCAGGTGGCAGTGTAACTAAGAGGGTATGTATTTTATTATTTAAACACATTTAATTACATTAATTGATATTAGTTCATCTTTAAGTGAAATTTTTTGTTGTTTTCTTAGTCTGGAAATATTGATAGGGTGTTACATAGTGCTACATTGTCAAGTTCAACTCCTACGAATATTGATCTTGGTTACAAACCCAATGGACTAAGGTGGAAGGGAAGAGTTGCAGTTACTCAAAGGCAGCTACGAGATGAGCAACCTACACCTCTCATGCACCATCTGTATGTTTTTTAAATTAGTCCTATGAACTTCTATGTAAAACTGGTGTATTTAGTGTTTGTGTTTTTGAATAGCATAAGTTTATTAATGAGAAAAGTATAAAATCTATTCATAGTTATTTAAGTTTGTTGTTATATGTATTTATGTCAATTATAACAGTAGATCGGATAAGTAGAAGCTCAAGTAAAAAAAGAAGAGGAAAAAGTAGAAGCCATATGATCGTAATTTCAATAAAATAGGTATTAATTTGTGAGTCTAATGGATATTTTGATGTTGAATTGGTAATGTGTCTACAATATTGCACATTGGACAGGTTACTAATAGCTATCCACAGTTTCTTTGTATATATTATCAACAAATTTTATCATTTCTTGTTCTCCATATCATACTTAGTAAGGATGACCTTCTTTATACTAAAGACACTTCTCACTTTAGTATTTTGAGAAATGACTAAATTTAAAAATTATTATTGCTTGTAAATATTTGAAGTCTTATAATCTATCTTTAATTTAAATATGGATCAAACTATCTGATAACTATGAAGTTGTATTTATTATCAAAGTTTAAAAGTATTAATATATAGATTTGCGTAGTTTATGATAATTTAGATATATACAACTGTTTTGAACAATGTTCATGCTACAATTTCTGTCTTAATTCATTCTAAGTGAAGAGGATTTCTTACTATATTTTTTATTTGATTTGTAATTACTGTTTTATAGATTGCTTAGTGTATTGTTGACAAACATCAGCAATTATATTGGGATACTTAAGGTTAGTACATAGTTACTTTTGCATATTTCAAAGTAATTTAGACTTTCTTTGTTGCTTCTTGTTTATTAAGTTGTTGCTGGTTAATGTTAACATAATAGGTTACAATATATAAGTATTGAAAACTACAACAAATAATCTTATGAGTATATTTGTCAGTCATAGTTTATAATTATAATAGTTCATCAGAAATCGAATACAACACAACGTTGAATGCCATTATGTAGAAATTAGAATTCAATATAAGCTGATACACTATAATGGCTTATTTATTTGTACTTAGTTAGAGATATGTTGTGGTGTTGTTATTTTTTAATGTATTTGTAATAGATAGTTGTTGGGTTGTTAAAAATTATTTAATAAAAGTTTACGCATTACGACGATCATAAACTGGTAAAGCAACATCAAAAAAATATAATACAATGATATAAATGATAATACTTTTTTTATTGAGATAAATTTGTAATTTTTATTATTTGACAGTGGTAGAAAATTTGCTTTTTGGAGAATGAGTACTGTTGTATTGTTTAACAATAGCAATGCTGACCACCATTTAAAACATAGTACAAAGTAGTAAGATTCAAATCTATACTTTAAAAAAAGTTCCTAGAACAAAGTACTCTAGGGAACATATATAGTTAGTTTATCAAAATATAATAATGTTAACACGTGGTTCCATTTCACATAATGAAAGGACCTGCTATTATCTTCAACGCACACTCATTTATTAAACTGTGAAATTATCCATCATATGAATAAGTGTATTATACCCCTCCATTTTACAAACCTCTTGACACCACCTCTTTCAATTCAAAAGATTAGTTGTACCACACTTCGAAAGGCTAATCTTGATTAGAGTCTAAAATTAAAATTAACACATAAAGTATCAGAATTTCGAGTGTTTTCGAATCTTATAAGTAATAAAGTAAATGTAGCTTGCATTAAGTTATAATACCTCAAATATTTTATCTCCATCATAGTTTTGCCCATATTCAAGGGAGGATTTCTGTTTGAAATTTTTTATGCATAATTAATAAGATGATATGTAATCCTTCTTTTAAGACACTTACATTCAGATTGTTGGTGTGTAAACACTTATATTCATATTGTTGGTGTGTAAACACTAACATTTCTGAAGATCAGGATGACAATATTCCTTTGAAAGAGTTCATCATTAGAGAACTTAACAACTTAATAGACATTATTATTTTTGTGAATGCTTGAATCCTTGATTGAAATCTTAAACAAAAACTTTTTTACCATTAAATCACCAAGCTCACTTGGATAAGAAATTTCAGCTTCTTCAAGTAATCCTTCTTTTAACTCTTTTGCAGTCTTTTCAAGCAGCTGGATAGTCTCTTTATTCAAAAACAATAACGAAATAAATGCAATGCCATTGTCACACCCTAAATCCGGATGTGATAGCACGTGTCCATTTCCCACCGGACACGTGCTATCACATCCGGATTTAGGGTGTGACAAAATGGTTATCAAAGCCCCAGGTTCATAGGTCTCACGTGTACAAGCCAAGTCTAAGTAGCGTTTCAAGGATCTGTACGGAGACGTCTGTACTTATCTTCGAGAGGTTATGGTGACTTTTAAGAAAGATCTTTATCACTTGATTCTCTATTGTGCGTCCTTGGTCTGATCTAATTCTTATCACTTCACTCTGTTCTCTCTCTCATTATAATGACTCGTGGTTGGTCTTTCGTGGGTGCGAGTTTAGGTGTCATCGCGTGATTTTAGTGTTAGATCTAGTTTTGATGCGGAGGTATAGGCTTGTGGAAAGGAAGTGTGATCAGACATGGAATTTTCTTCGAGACGAGTGAGTAAGGTTGTGGCCAAGGGATGTGTTTGAGTTATGGTATTGGAAGATGAACATTTATTAAGAGACTTCAGGAACGTCTTATTTCTCCGGTCATTTATTCAACAACGAGAATAGTGCTTGTGTGACTTATACGACGGAAGTGGCTAGACAATAAAGAATGGTGTAAGTAAGAGAATGACTATGTTGAGAGTGCTGCGACTTTGGAAACTACAGTTTGTGAAGTTCGTCATAAGGGAATGAATTGTGTAGTATATTATGATGATGAAGTTGCACCAACCAAAATCAAAAGTTCTACGGTGGTTTTATAGGGTGGGTGTATATCATTACAGGGTCATTGTACGACGGCTACGACGGTACTCGTGTTATCTTGGTTAGGGCTATGGGCTATGTTGCTTCTGCCATCGATCGGGCTTACGAAATTGTGCATATCATTTTCGGCCGGAGACTGAAGTGCTTTGGTAATGTTTTGCAACTATTTAATGAGTGTAAATGAATAGGTTGTTTGAGCACGACCTTCTCAATGGATTTGATGTCTTCTAGTGGTGGATTTAGCGGTTGTTCATGATGTGGTACTAGTGATATATGGAAGCGGAGAAATCTGAGTTGTCAGTTGTTTCACCTAATCAGGTCAGAAGGTTGATGTTGCATTCTCGATTGAGAAATCAAGTGGTTGCTACTATGAACGCTTGAGTTAAGCATTAATTATAAGGAAAGTTATAGTGGTGGATCGAGTGAATCGATCTTGTCTTGTTTCTAGGACAAGGTACGACGCTTGGGTGGTCATGATTATATTGGAAACTAATGACTTCATGATGAGTCCAAAGGAATGGGCAACAATAAGCCATGGATGAAGAAAGTTTTAATAAGTATACTCGTGTAAAGGCAATTAAGGATTTTAGCGAGAAAGTACGATTAAAAAGGAATCGGGTTGGTTTTATCAAGATGTGGGTTGGCAAGGTAAGAGATGATTGGTTGTGTCAACTTTTTAGCCATTGGAAGGACTTTTGCATGGTTTGAGTTGTAGCAATTAAATACTTGTGATTGTAGAAGAGTTCGATGAGTTTCATTTGAGAAGTTTGACTTAAGGTAAAAGGTAATATGCGGTGGATGTTTGGCCAAGAAACTATAATGATAAATGATTTACGGGAAGAATAAAAGTCTTGCGCGATGGATATAAGTTAAGAGATGTGAAGGAATAAGACATCACGTGTAGATCCTTAGTTTGAAGTTGAGGATTGTGTAAATTTCTGCTTTTATGTTAGATATGACAATGCAATGTGGATTGGTTCAACACAAATGTATGATGTGTTATCAGCTACCTTCTGAACACTTGGTATTGGTGTTGGTGGTAAACGTTGATGTATGAGGAATTCTGTAGTTTTTGAATTGGTTTGAATTGTTCAGCTTATGGTGGGTGGCTTACGAGTGTCCAACCGGAAGGACTTATAGCTCTACATGGTTATTGAGGATTTTGAACTGGGTTGATAACTCTATTTTATGGAATTATCCAGACTGTTGTAACGCGTTACATAGATCCTTGATGATAAATAGAGGTTGTGTGCTCATAGTATACAGAATTATTTGAGTGACCAAGAACTGCTTCAAGTTTCGGCATGAGATATATGATGGTTTGATTAATAGTTGAAGCTGGGTAAGTAAATGATCGCGTATAATCGATATTGGTCGTGATTCAATAGTCCCATCTCAATGAAAAGGTACTATGACATTTAGAACTTGGATTAGTAGCGATTGGGTGAGACCCATATCGATCGTGGAATGCTTCAATGGAAGGAGGAAGGACCATAATTCAAAATTTTGGAAGCAATGATGTGTTTCTAAGAATGACTGGATACTAGTGGCCGTCTGAGGGTAAAGTAACTGGCCGGTGTGACTATGATGTTCTGGTAGTATTGACATTGTTGGCTTTAATGGATTATTGTAAAGAGTATGAGAAAATGGATAAATTGAGTATGTCTATGAATGTTATGAGGCCGGACTGGCTGATTGTGAAGTCAGACGAATGGGAAGGTGTGTTATGGACATCGTGGAAGGGATATCTTAGGTTGTTCAATTTTGGTTTTGTATATTCTTATATGACCACCTACCTCATTTCAGACATGGTTTTGGATTATGATTCTCTGTCTATGTTCAGACGTGTTTTTACTTTTGTGGGTGGATTCCTAGTGGTGAATCGGATGGACCGATTCATGCTCTCTTGGCAGAATAGAATACTTGTGTAGGTAGGCCGATTCAGAGATAATGGGTTTGATGTGGTATTGGGGTGGTGGAAGGTTTT